TTAGGAGAATGGGTTTTATCCTTATGTTTAGTACCATTTTCCCAGCTAAGGGACTCCTTTCTCCCTGGGGATATTACCCTTTTCTTACCTTTCCCCTACTGTGGCATTGCTGTAAGTATCTTGCCAGAGAATAGAGGCTAGAATAAGTACCTCAACTCTTTGAGAGATAAGATTGGACAATAATAATAAGTAATAATTCTAATTTTGTAGAACATAAAATCAATTTCCCTCCTTTAGTGGGGTAATTTTGATTAAAGTAACAAATACCTTAAAGTATTCAGGAGTTTATAGACTTAATTCCTTGAGAGTAGCCCTCCAACAAAGAGAGGAAAGAAAAAATAAAGATACCCAATAGATACTCAATATTTTTAGAATGAATTTGACATTAGAGTGACATTTGAATGTAGAATTTTCAAACTTTCTAGAATCTTAACTCATTTCCACTTTATTTTATGAGAGCAATATTTTTTCTTTCTAGTGTCTAAACTGATCCCAGGAATCTAGCCTGGAAGAGTGACTTCTCCTCATTTTATCTTACTGTTTTATAGACGATTGCCAAAACTCTAAAGACAGTGTGTGAGGTTTTGTCATCTGACCGTGATGGTGGACCTGCCCGGATCCCTTTCAGCACCTTCCAGTTTCTCTACACATATATCGCCGAAGTGGATGGCGAGATCTCTGCATCACATGTCAACAGAATGCTAAACTACATTGAACAGGAAGTGTAAGCAAACTTTTACTGATTGGGGTGAAAGAACACCCAGAAAACAAATCAGGCAGGTCAAAATATGGTGAGATTACTACAGAAGTAGAAGTTGCCATGGAGGAAAAGTAGAGGAAAAAGAAGAGCAGGCAGTCAAGAGTTAAGAGAAAAAGAAGGTGATGTGGGCAGAGCAGCAGCAGAATTAATTTGGAGTCAGAGGGTCATTTATATATTGTCTTTCTTAGGATTAATTGTTAACCGAACTAACCCCAGATATACATTTTTCCATACAGAATTGGTCCTGATGGTTTAATCAAGGTGAGTGACTTTACCCAAAACCCCAGGGTTCGGCTGGAGTAAAAGCACAATTTTGGCAATTTTAAAGGAAGATACAGAGATGATTGTACTTCAGAATGACCGAACTCCATACACCATCCAAAGTCAATTTTCTTGTACAACTGGTACACACTAATAAACAATTAAGCAAACATATGAAATCAGAAATGTGTGGAATTAAGATGTGAAATTGTTGGAACAAACACTTTCATTACCAGGTTAGTATTCTTCTCACGTGGACACTGAGTAAAAGTGGCTGACAAAGCGCGGATAGAAAATGCAGCTCAAGGCAAAGCCAGACTGTCAGATTTCAAAAGGGAGAAGAATGTTAACCAGACATAGTTCTGATGTTCTGTGATTGTTAGGCAAAATTCACATGGTCAATGTAAGTTTTTACCAGTTTATTTCTCCATTTGTTGGTACTATGCTAGTCATTCATGCATTCACTTATCAATATTTATTGAGGTTAGCTATGCTCCAGGAATAGGGTTGCCAGATAAAAGACAGGACACCCAGTTAAATTTGAATTTCAGATAAACAACAAATTTGTTTTATTCTTTGCTAAACCTGGCAACATTAGCCAGGAACTATGCTGGCTTCTGGGAATATAATAATAAATCATATCTGAATTCTGCCCTCAAGGAGCTCACAGTCTAACACTAAGATAAGACATGAACATAAATCATTTTAATGCAAGCGGCCTTGAGAAGAATAGAATGTTCCAGAAAGTCCCATTGTCAACAGATGTAATTTTTCCTTTAGGGAAAATCCCCTGCATGAGTCTAAGACCTTTTGACAAGGTCTTAAAGATTTTTCTTTCTGGAAGGAAGCGGATGAGATTAACAGGCTGTGATTATTATTCTTAACGCCAGGTATGCCAAGATCACTGGGTCATTCCCTTCTATTTGTAATACTATCCCCTCTTAAAAGTTGCTTTTGCTCAAAAATCACGTTAGCTTACACACATAACATCAGTTGGGGAGAAATTTGTCTTCGGTGTCTGAATAAGGTAAAAGGAGATTACAATTGGATGTTGCCCTGGGCCCTTGATTTCTGCCTAGAGTGAAACAATAAAAGGGGCTAAAACAAATCCCCCCACCCCACTTCACCAGGCTGCACCTGCAGGGAGTGGGCAATAACAAATCCTGCCTGCTATCTGCCTTCCTAACCCAAGCGGCCCATCTTTCTATCCACTCTGGGACCTAAGGCTGCTTGAAAAGGCTGAAGCACTGCAGGTGGAACCTGGCACTGTAATTAATAAGGATGCCTTAGTTTCTTGGCATCTCAGTTTCTCTTCCATTGTGGCCAACGAATTGAAATATGGTCTTGCCTGGAAATGGGGAGCAAAAGGGAGCAGCGGGGGCAGCCCCAATTTGAAAGACCCTAAAATATTGTATTAAATTGATAAACATAACAAAAGCAAAAGGGTCCTTTGTACATTTGGGAAAACAGAGATCAGAAATTAAATTTCAGTAGACTTGAACGATCCCTCAAGAGTGAGGCTAATGAAATTCCAGCCATCAAAGTGTATATTGGACACAGATATGAAGTTATTGATGGTACTATAGCTATCTATGCTTACTGAGGCTAAGCACAATTGGCAATACCATTGTCACACTGCCAATTCCTCATCTTCTAAGCCACCACTTGGTGTCCACCATCTTTCTCCTCTTCTGCTCTGGCTCACTGTGGCGATGCTTGCTCCAATCTATCGATGTCGCTAAAGCACAGCTGCTCACCAGAGACACAGCCTCCACAGCACATGGGCCAAAACAACCCGCTTCAGCAGTCACCCCCAGGGTGGGAAACAGCTTTGCCCTCCACTTGGGCTACAATGTAGTAATAATATTATAAATACTGTATGAATTATAACAAGCAGCATTTATTAAGCACTTACTATATGCAAGTGACTGTGTACAACACTTCACACACATTCTCAAATTTTTCTTTATGGTCTGACCTTATGAAGTCAGTGCCATTATCCTCATTTTATAGATGAAGAAACAATCTTAAAGGAATTAAGTTGTTCAATGTCACTGATGAAAAAGAATTTGAATTCAGGTTTGCCTGACAACAAACCTATGCTGCCGTGCATATATATGCGCACTGCCTGTGTAGGTATGGGGTTTTCATCCCAGAAACAATCCCTGAGATAGAGATTTAAGTGCAGATAGTTTATTTGGGAGGCAATCCCAAGAATGGTGGAAAAGGAGTAGGAAGAGTAAGATAGTGATGGAAAGAAAGCCAATAAAGGGTGTGTTATCCAGTCAGTTACCCCTGTCCCCCAGTACTGCTGGGGAACTCCGGGAGACAGTGGAGAACCCGTCTCAGAGTTATCCCAACCTGAGGGGTGAGGAAGCTCTTCGTCCAGCACTGGCTGAAGGCTGCTTCCTCACCAAGTCCCCGTGTGTCATTGACTGAGGGCTGCTTCAAGGGGCGTTCACTTTCTGCATCTCTGGCTGGCCTGAGCTTGCTCCTTTTGCTCCGGAAAAAAAGTCCTCAGGCAGGAAGTCACAGGTATTCACAATAAGCAGCCACTGGCATCTGCTATAACACCTTGCAGAGATTTTAATAAAACAAATTTTTAACATTTTAATCACTGTTACTATTTTTCTCCTTGGGTCAGGCACAAGTCCATGGAGGCTAAAGGGCGATAAGTGATGGCCATTGTGCTATGTTAAAATTCATACCTCACCCACAAACCTGGCACATTGTCCCCAACCAACTGTTTCTTCCTTATGATGAGATCATTCCAAAGGGGCTCTCTTGATCCTTTCTGCCAAGACTCTTGTCAGACCCATCCCACTGGCTTTCCTATCATGACCAGCAACATCTGAATCCTGGCATGACCCCAGTTAAGCTGTCAGAGGCCCTTATAACATATGGTTTGCATTTCTCCTTTTAAAAAATTTCAGGAAGCAATAATAACAGGATTTTATAAAGGAAAAAAAAAGTGGGTTCTTTCCTAAATTAAGCTGTTTTGATTAAAGTGAAGACTGCAGATAAATTTAAAGCTTCAATGGGAAATGCAAATATTACGGCTCAATTCCATTTTCTCTATGTTCCATGCCCTTCCTCTCCTTCATGTTTTCAGTCAGGGGCCTACCATCCCTAGTTAACCAACAACTTTAAGGATCTCCAAGGCCTGCCACAGAAGGAGTTGGACACTCCAGTGTGGAGGGCTGGTTTTGAATTAGGTTAGAATAGGAGTCTTGACCTGAAATCCTTGGAAAGGCTCCTGAATTCCTCTGATAACATTACATATAAATACGTTTCAGAAATGTGCTCATTAGCATTTTTCTGAGGAAGAAATTACAAAGCTTTTAGCAATTTCTCAAAGTTGTATATGATCTCAAAAGGCCAAGAACACTTAGATTCAAAATAACTCCAGAAAGCACCAAGTGGCTTGAGGAAAGACAACAGGGCAGTCTTTCTCTTTCTAAGCAGAACTAAGCTCATGCTCTCAAAATGTGACTTACTATCCACAGCCTCTTACTTTTTGAATCTTACATCTTGGCTATAAATCTATGTTTTTAGTTTAGATCTTCATATACTTGCAACTTCAATTGTTTCCTAGAAACTGGAACACAGTTAAACATGAACAGAGACTTTCACATTTCAGTGGTGACCAATTGATAAGTCATTGGTCCACTATTCTGAATTATAAAAGACTGGATAGACTAAGCAGAGTTGTGTACCCATGAACTAGAGGGACTAAACCTCCAAATCAGGCTAGATAATCCTGAGTTTCAGGTATTTAAGTAGTTGTCAGCCCCAATGTACCAAAGCAGTTCAAAAAATGGTTAATTCATTGATCTACTCAACAAATAATTTAAAAATTCCTAATATGTGCAAGGCATGGTGCTGGGCACTGGGGATATTGCTCTGATCAAGGTAAGGTCACTGCTTTCGAAAGATTGAATTCTACTTAGGAAGACAAACATAACTAATCACACAATTATAATTGTAAGAAATGATGCTACTGCATCATAGTATAGAGGCACATTCCTAGTTTGCAGGGGTATGATAGAAAGGTGGAAGGAAAGGCTTTTTTGAGGAAGTAACCTGAGAGCAAACTCAGAAGCCTGTGGTGTTGGTTACTACAGATGACTCAGAAATGTGTATCTGCAGCCCACACCTCTTTGCCAAGCTCCAGACTAACCTATTCAGTAGCTAATTTGATATCTTCTCTTGGGAGACTCCAAGGCACTTCCCTAATTCAACATGCCCAAAAATGACTTCCTAGTTTACATTTTTATAATACAATGTAGGGGCTAAATGAGTTCATAAACTTTCCTCCTAAATGTGCATCTCTCCCCACACTCCTCCAGATACAAAACCTAGAAGCCAGGGTCAATATAAATACCTCTCCCTTGCCTTACTTCCTAAATCTATCACCACCAAGTCCTGTCCCTTTCACCTCCTAGGCCTCTCTCAAACCTGTCTTCTTCATCTTCCCTTACTCCCCCACCTCCATATCCACCCACCTCCTCCCAGCTACCAACATCCCAGCTACCAATATATTTCATCTGGACTTCCTATCAGTCTGGTCCTGGCAGGAAACAGAAGACACTCAGCCAAGATTTTGAAGATAATTAAAAGAAGAAGGTTTTCAGAAGTGTGGACAAGGAAACTAACAAAACCCGTTGAGGCATCCAGGGACTAGCAAACCATTTTCACCCCTAAGACTGAAGGGACAAGGGGAAGAAATGTTTTATTGGAGCCTGGAGAGGATTGGAGCGCCAGGAGTTTTCTGAGGAGCTGTCGGCCACTGTATCAGTCAGACGGTGCTGAGATGGAAGGAATTCCCTAATCTTTCTCCTCTTGTATTCACTAAACAGAACCTGAATCTGGAAGGCAAGTCTGAGTGACGTCATCCTTAGGGGTCAGTCTCTGGAGCA